AAGCAGGGGCTCCAGATGAGCCCTGAACTGCCCTGCCCCTCCCTGAATCCTAAACCCTGAACCTTAATCCCGGTTTAGGGTTTAGGGGGTTTTAGGGGTTTAGGTCGTAGGGTATTCATCCCCCATCTCCTCCAGGCCGTGCACACGTCCCTCAAGGCGGCCCGCATGCTTGCAGCCAACTGGCACTTCGGGGGTACCAGGGTTAGAGGTGCAAAAAGGATTGCTGTTGCTTCAAAGACTTACTACACGTGTTACAAGGCTTATCTTCGAAGATTCGAAAAACTACGTATATGCATAGGTGTGTAAGGAGGGTCAGCCTCAAGTACAGCTTTGGATGCTTTCGGAGCTGCATTGCGCGAACATTTTAATAGAAAAAGGATGCTGGCTGTCGGTAAAGATGATCTCTCTTTGCAGTGTCATTATGTCTCATTCGTCTGCGTTTTTTGAGAACTTGATAAGTATACTCTGCCATCTCCCCGCTTGTCCCTTGGATTGGCAAGCTGAAAAGGCCAGTTCAAGATTCCGAGGGCAGAGGGCGTCGCATGGGTATCGTCCGACCGGCTAGCTGCTCTCGAGCTTCGAGCAGTCTCTGAGAGTGCTGATTGTTCTGCTTGTCCCAGACCTGTGCAGTAACCCTGAACCCTCAACCCCGGCTGTGGGTCGGAGCACCAAGACTTACATACTGGAGGGGGGCTGTGTCGGTCAGAGCTGTTTCGCCGCTTGGAAACCCCGCAAACACGTTTGTCCCTCTCGCCGGAGCAGCTGTCCGGAACACACTGCAGGTACCAATACAGGGTTACAGGGGCCTCATTATTATACCGCCAATCCTTATTCAATTTCTTATATTACATTACTAGTCATGGCATCTGGTTTTTTGGCCAATTTCAGAACATCCGGCTTGCTGAACGCCAGTCTCGGAGGCGCTGGGCTTCACTCAGATGGCGAAGAAGGTGAAGCAGCGGGAGGTTGGGCTGCAGATCCTGCTTGCCAGTGAAGTTATGGAGTTTTTGATGCGTTTCTGCAAGGGGCTGAAGGGGCTCCTTGAGGCTAGATGGGCGTGAGCTTGCCCGCTTTTTTTTCCAGGCGACACGGTTCCCTTGGATTGCACGCATGACGCGATCTAGCAAGCGCATACTCGGACACTTTTCCGTCACAGATGCAGGGGTTTAGGGTGCAGAGGTCGAATTTGAGCAGTGCTGCGGCCTTGAGAAGATGTTTTGCCCAATAACCGTCTCAGACCGTCTAGGAACAAAGGTAGGAGATTCATCGCTGGAGGCCGCCGACATGAAGCTGGCCGAGGATGCCAAGGATTTTTGCCCTGCCATGCGATTCTAGAGGCTCTGTTGTGAGCACCCAACTCAAGGCGGTGTCAGCTTTTTGAAGAACCTGCAACCGCCCAAGAAGGAGGCAAGATAAGGATGGTCAGTTGGATTATGACAGCGACAAGAACAAAGATTATCAGGCGGTGATAGGTAATCCCTGTCTAACAGGAAAAACCCTATCTAACTAACGGGAAGACCGGGTCTAAGATAAAAGCCGTATCTAACAGGAAAACCCTATCTAATAGGAAAACCCTATCAAAGGACCAAACCCTATCTGAAAGAAAACCTATCTAGCCAGAAAATTCCTATCTAATCGAACAGCCCTATCAACATAGGAACCCTATCTAAAGCCTAAGCTGCATCTTGTTTGAAAGCCCGCCCTTAATACTAAACTGGTCCAGCGTGCACGAACGAGCGCTGAAGCACTGTCCATGCATCCATCACCATGAAGAACTGCAACAGGACGTCATCATGCCCCCCCACCCCCTGCCCCCCCCAACCCCCAACCATGCAAACTAAAGCAAAAATGCCTGATTCCTCGAGGCCTACTACTACTACTACTACTACTACTACTACTACTACTACTACTACTACTACTACTACTACTACTCTCCTACTGCTGCTACTACTACTACTACTGCTGCTGCTGCTACTGCTACTACTGCTGCTACTGCTACTGCTACTGCTACTGCTACTGCTACTGCTACTGCTCCTGCTCCTCCTCCTCCTCCTCCTCCTCCTCCTGCTGCTGCTGCTGCTGCTGGTGCTGCTGCCGCTACTGTCATAACGGTTGGTGAAGCAAATGAAAACCCCTGCAACTATTAACAAGGTCGCTTCTGTCGGAACTTGAAGTCTCGCCTCTCCAAAAATCCAGAAGAAAGCCATACTCCCTGTTCCTATAGTCTTGAACTTAAGCCACATGTCTTGCATGGAGAGGATGTGTCTTCCCCCCACGGCTTGGGCCGCATGGCACGTGCAGCATCTCGGTTGCAGCCGAAGAGTTGGACAACCGGGTCTGTCAGGCTGCTAGCGTAGACGAGGTTGTGAAAATCGGGCTTCCTTTAGGGGTGTATCAACGAGCCAGCGAGAGCATGCACCCCAGCAATCAAACATGTGGAGGTCGAATGCAGTGAATTCTGTCAGCGGATATCGTTTGGACTGGCCTTGTGTATGCGAAACAATGATTGAGGAGGACCTCCCCAACTTGACGAATGCTTTTCTACTCAGTGCGAAGGTGAACAGTCAAGGATCTTTGTAGCAATCTGTAAGCACCACACGACGTAGGTCTCGGCACATGCGTCATCACGTACCCCAATGCTTTGTCGCCATTTCGCAGATGATAGTTACCACATTTTCTAGTTGCTTCTCCTTGTCTTTCCTGTTATGGCCGTTGCTTCTGCCTGATGTGGAGAGATGCATCATGCCCTACATGTTGTGCCACTATGTCATCATCATTTCTGGTACTATCAGGGTCGCTGTCATCGATTGCCAGGAATACTAGTATCATTGGCAGCACTCCCGAGCGGGCGTTGTTTTCTCTAACTGGTCTTATGTGATCGTTGAGGGCTCCGGGTTCCAAGTCAACTGAGGGCCGACGCGATGCTAGGATGGCACCACCCATTGAAAGCCAGGCAGCGAGCAAAAGGAGGCAGCAGAAGCAGAGTCCTTCGAAGCGAAGCGTGCAGAAGAGGTGCCAGAGTTGCACTGGCCGGGATGACCAAGAAGTGGTGCAGAGGTCAAACTCTTTCCTGAATGTCCTTGCGCCCCCATGGGTGATAATGTTGTTGATGATGATGATGATGAAGATGATGGTCAAGTTGCTGACTCGTCACGATGAGTACGCTGGTGCAGGAAAGTCAAGATGCACGTGGCTCTCTCGTTCATTTGCCTTGGCTTCGCGCGTTCGGCTTGCATTTACAATCCTAATATGGGATGGCTGTAGTCCGTGGTGCGGATTTCAAGCCATTGCAGGGAGGCTTAAGCTCCATGCCGTTTTCGAGAGGGTTCCACACTGGCCCTCCGTGAGCAATTTCAGGACCAAACAATCGATGGCAAGTACATTGAAAATGTTTGAACAATAGGAAGCGTGAGTCATGCAATCGTCAGTCTGTGGCGAGAAGTGCTGGTCGGAGAAAAGGCACGGTTGGCTTCCAGCGAGTCCCGCCGGCCAGTGCTGGATCTACAGAACCTAACAATCCTTGCTATGAACACTTTGTATCCTTTCATTAAGGGCCACTGGGTATTCCGGGCATCAGGATCATGAAGATCAAGAGCACTACACGATCGCGATCCCGCAAGTGAGGGCAGAAGACATGAAAGCTGACACAAGTCCGAAGCCATATCATACATGCCCAGAGCGTGTAGCAGCAAATACCGTAAGATCACACGCCTGCATACGTGCGCACACATGCACGGAAGCACGTGCAGAGCCCAACCAGCAGAAGTAGCACTAGCTCACTAGCAGCATGATTTTGTCTGTTTTAGGGGGTGTTGTGTTGCTTTGCTAATTCAATGTCCCAGATCCCGAATGTGGTCTTGTTACACTCTGTTTTGGTCACTTCGCTTGCCCAGAAGTCTACACTCATTGTGACAGAATGCACTTTGCTTACCACAACGACGTAGGTCACTACAGCTGCACAGGTCCGATGAGCAAGAGACAGAACCAGAACCAATGGCATGCCAGTCCTGTGCCGGCTTTCGATTTTACCCTGACCGTGCTGCACACGTCGGTCAAAGTCTGCCTTTACTCTGCATGGTTTCACAGCAAATAGCTCATGCCAGCTCTGCCTACCGCACAGCGAGTTTACAAGGCTCTAAGCAGACTCTGGCAGCGTGTTTCGGTTGGGCCAAGTTTGAAGGTGGCAAGGTTCAGACAAACTCATTGAACGCCAAACGAGAATTTATATTCCGGGTGGCTTCCGTATTCCCTCGTTGTTTTTATTAGCTCAGACAGCAACATGACCTTCTAGACTTTCCCGAGGCTTGTCCCTTACGTCCGACTATTTGTGGTCGCCGAAGTATGAGGCGGTTCTAAACCCAAAGAAAGGACTTAGGAAGCCCGATTTTTGCGGACCCCAATGCCCCAAGCTTCCTGGTTGCTCTGTGCCGGGATGCCGCCTTCACGGGGAAGATTGCCAGGGCCTAAAGCTTCAGGGGGTTGGCTCATAGCCACCTTCAGCTGTCGCCCTGGCAGATGATTGCAATGCTATGTCATTGCGTCGATGGGAGCTTGCTCTGTGTGCAAAATGGGACTTCAGCATCTGTACATGTGGAGTTTACGATTTGGGATGAGGGGTTCAGGGTCGAGGGTATTGGTTTTAGGGCTGGGTTGCATAAAATGGCCCCTTCTGGAGTTGTGATATGTCCTATGCTTCAGGACAGCATGTCAAATCTCCGCATGAGGTGACTTGTTTTTCAAGCCTGTCCCAACGGTGATCCCATGCCTGCGCGAAGTGGCAGGCGGTCATGTTTCGAGCAGAAGTCTTGGCAGCGAGCTTTCAGGGTGGGGTCCAGCCGTTCTGGTCAAGGGTTCACGCGTCTCGCATCACTTCCTGTACATGTATTTAACAAGCGCTTTGTGAGAGCGCAAACCCCTGAACCTCTAAAACCCTACACGCTAAATCCCCAAACACTAGCGGCTAGTAACCCGCAAGCCCTAAGCCCATGCAGCCGTAGCAGGCAGATGAATTCCCTCACCTGGGACGGTGCCACACCGAGTAAGGCTCTCTTAGAAGCGGCCAGCAGGCAGGGGGTTTAGTGGCGCACTCAAGAAGTGCGTAGATAGACTCTAGACGGCGTAGGTTAAGTGTAGTTCCTTACCTAACCTCGCAGCAACGGAACGGTGCTGCAATCCGTCGTGAAGAGAGCACCGGCTGGTTCCGGGTTCAGGGTTTGGCGTTTGAGATTCGGGTGGTAGTAAATGTGTGACCTGTCAAAAGGCAGTTTATCAGTTGGCGATGTGGAAAACTCATGTTCCGAGGTACACTTGGGCGACCCCAATTCGGCGATGAGCCGCTGAGCCCGCCCCTGCCGCTCTCTCTCAATAGCTTCATGCTGTTGAACTACTGGCCACTGCATGGAGCCGTGAATTGATCATTCGACGTCCTACTGCTATTTAGCTGACATCGGAGCTATAAAAGCAAGCGAGTGATGGCATGTTCCATGTGCCCATCAGCCAAGCTGAAGGTCATGAGCCCAACAGCTGCATCGGCCGTAGACTGGTATTCAGGGCCCGGTCATCGAGATGTCGCAACACCCATCAGCATAGAGGCGTAGATCTTTGCACCGTCGGGGCCTGCTATCAGCGCATGTTCTACTCTCATGCCTTTGGGAACCGTTGCGGTCAGGAGCTGCCTCGGCGACATGAGCCCCTTCGCTGCCATGGATAGTCTGCCTGGGATTGTGAGTTCTTGAAAAGCTTTCCGGGCTTCAGGGAGGCAACATGTACTCCAAGGGGCAAGGGGCGAAGGGTCGCCCGATGTCCGAAACCCTTTAAACCTTGGAACCCCAAGCTCTAAACTCTGAGCCCTCACTGGCAGGAAGCTGGTTCGGACAGGATGTTGGAGTCATGGTAGCAGCGTCGAGCTTTTGAAGGCCCGTCGTCCGTGTTCAACCGCAAAACTGCTAGCTCTAAGTCGGTTCTGCTGAGGCAGACCGGAGCCCTCAAAGCAAAGATAACGCTAAAGCCTTCAAGCCGTCGTGGATTATGTCATGATTATTTCAGTAGTAATTAATTTGTAAGCCACGGATGCCGCAGGTCTTTTGCTTGCTCTACTCCTCGGAAACACTGGTGGTAGCTTCCTGAAACTGGCGCGAGCACATTTCTTATCTCTGTCACCCGAAAACCTAAGGCTGTAAACGAAAATCCTAACATGTTAAACCCTAGACGGTCTATGAATCTAACTGAAATGTATACATACACACCTGTTGATCCTGCAGCCACTACGGTAACTGCACCACCGTGCCTAAGCCGAGGCATGGTCGCCAAGGAGGTGCGACCAGGTTGTCCCACGTGGACGTTCCCTAAGTTCCGGACGACCTTTCTTCGGTTTAGGGTTTAGGGTTGGCTGGTCCCTTCCTTGGGCTCCGTGACCTCATGTCTGCAGGGGGTTTTGAAGGTTAGGCTGCTTAAAGTCAGCGGTACTCGCAAGTTATTCTTGCAAAGGCTTCCAGGGAACGAGACATTGATGAGTGCGAGTTTTGATAATGTTTCTTGACTAACGGAAACATGGACGGACAAACGCTTGTTCAGCATTTGGTTCGATTCTACAAGTATTCGCAAGCCTCATTTTCCTGTCGCGATGTTTTTTGTTGATTGGTGTCAATCAGTACTTCTTTGCTACATGTTACTACAAGGGAATATAAACCAGTACGCCGTTCTGTTTGTGTCAGCCACCACAGCAAGACTTTACGCGAGGTGTCCGCGAACGAGTTTGAGATTTCTCCGGTCGGGGGCTCAAGGAAAAGCAATCTCCAAGGTCGAGACAGCTTGCCTATAATCTCCATTGTAGTTCCTGTTTCGGGTTACCTGTAACGATTCTTAATACAAAAGTTGTGAAATACAAAAACAACTACAACGGAGAGTATGAGTAAGTCAGATGCCCTTCAAGCTGTCTTACTTCCTGCGAGCCACATCCCTGCTGTTCGAACTAGGCTGGTTGAACCGGACTGTCGGCTCCGATCCTGAGTAAATTCTTGCTAGTTAGTTATCTATACTGTTGTGGGGAAGTATGGTATCATGGGCCCCAAAACCCTATTCTAATTATTCAGGCCCCTATACCCAAACTCTGTAAGTTCTTGTCCAGTTCAGTGGGCCCGAAGGATGAAGGAGGTTCAGCGTTCGCGCTAAGCTTCCTGATATTCTGGCCTGCTTTTTCGTGCCCTTGCATTGCGAGACACTTGATGATAGCACGGCAGAGAGAGAGAGAGAGAGAGAGAGAGAGATACCCAAACTATCCCAAACTCTTATAGTAGCGCTTATAGACCCCTTTAAAGGAGCTCTCTAAAGAAGTCCTATTCTACTTACTTCGACCCCAATATGATGCTTGTAGGGTTTAAGGGACCTTAAGAACTACCCATATTACAGTTATAGTATAACATACCATGCCCCAGTATAAAGGCCCTTACATACCAAACCCTAACCCTAAACCTGGCCCTTGCATGAAAGCCTTCCACATGCAGAGGCCTCGGAGCCTTTGCTCGAGAGGCGCCTGACGGTGCCACAGCTGCAGCTCAGTTGGGCCGGGTTGGAGAAGTCGTTTAGGGTTTTAGGGGTTTTAGCTGTTTAGGGTTTCGGGGTTAGGGTTTAGGGCTTTAGGGGCTTAGGGGTTTAAGGTAGACCCTTGTCCTAGCAAGAACTTCCTAGTCCTAGCCTGCGTGTCCGAGTTGCGAGAGTCCCAACTTCCTACAAAGTGAGTTTTCCAACATCCCCAAGCAAGTGCTGCAGATTTCATTTCAGTTTGTTACACGATAGTCGGACTTCCTAGCGGTCCTACCGTGTCAGTGAACCATTGGGAATGCCTACTGGGTCTACCGAGGACAACAGCGGCTTCTACCAGTGGCGACATCCTTGGGGGCCAGCTCAGACTGAGTTGCAGGTTCGATCTCGATCCCCTCTCCCCTCCTTCCTCTCTTGCACTCCAGTCGTGGCAGCAACGATCACGCTCCCATTAATTACGATGTGCTTCTTCTCATTCTTTGTGAAGCCGACCCCACCAGTCATACATACAGACACAGACATACATATACAAACACATGTATACTACCTGTACTTACCACACATATGTGCATCGTACGTAAAGATTGCTATCGGTCCCTGCGTCCCTTGGGCTTGGCTTCCAAGGATGGGTGGCCTCGCGCTGGCGCTCCTTGCAGGAGCGTTGTACGCGGCCCTGCGCTGAGTGGATGAAACATTATTGGGGCCTTAATTATACTCGCGTTTTGGGGGCCCATTATACTATAATTACACTATGGAACCCCAAAACAGTATAGGTAATAATTGAGGCCCCGAGATCATGAGGTCGCATCAAACTGGTCTCCCAGGCAGAACGGCAGTCACATCGAGGTTCTTTCGGGATGTCAACGTGAAATTATGGATTCTCTGAGGACGGGTTTTCCAGAAGCCCCCGTTCGCGCAACAGAGAGGATCCCCATGTTGAGTGTGCCTTTGACACCGGGGCAACCTGCTCATGACGTCAATGATAGCCTGGCTGAGGTCATGTATGTGCCGCAGCTGCTGTGGAAGACCCGTTTGCAGGAAGAAGGCACGGAAGCTGAGGACTCATGGAATCTCAGGGGTCACCGCCGTTGGTGCTACAGTGCTGCTCGAGGCAATTCACGACCAGGGTGCATGATGACGCACCTGCAACATCCATGCATTCGCGATTGCATGGACATGCAAACCTCGTGGTAGTCACTCATGGCCTCAATAATGGCGACAAAGCTCCCTGACCCTTCTAACACGGTCAAACTGGTCCCACCCACTTTCTAATGCCAGGCCGCAGCAGGAGCATTGCAAGTGATCTAGGGACCTGTAGTAGCTTTAAGCCATAGAGTTCCCCCGCTGCATGAGACCATGTCTGTATGTATGTATGTATGTTACGCACACATGCATACATACATACTTGCTTACTTACATTGCAGTGCAGCACATTGACACATATAGCTGTAGATAGACATATATAACATGTACATACACACATACATATACATATACACATACATAGATACATACACACGTAGCCAAGACTATGTATGTGAAACACTTGCATCGCTCTACCATGTACATATACTTATACACATATACATATATACATGCATACATATATATATACATATACATATGTAGATAGGTAGGTAGACTATAGGTAGATATGCATGCACGTACGGGCATGCATACATGGATGCATGCATACCCATACACACATGCACACATATGTATATACACATATATGTATATAGATGTATATATATATATATATGTGTGTTTTTGTTTGCCTTTTATGCCCATATACTCATCGATACATATACATGTACATACGTATATAGGTAACCAACCAAAAACGCATAGACACAGTTCGACAGACACAGACAGAAGGATGGATAGACATCTATCGATCTACCTACCTGACCATCCGTCCATCAACGTAGCTTTCTGTCCCACTGCCTGTTTCCTTCATCTTTATGCATCTATCCAGCGAACTAACTGGCTGTCTGGCTAGCTTTGCCGAACTCCTACTCTCATTCCTTGGCTTGCTACGTGCGTATCAGCCGTAACCTTCGAAGAAAGCCTGTCGGACGGGGTCAGTGGCGTGTGGCACACAGGCTACATTGCTTCGGGCCTGGACTACTTCTACTCCCTGACTGTCCTTGGGCTTGATTCAGAGCCACAAGCCAGCCATTAAAGACCAGTTTCCTGCACTCAAAGTGGAGCCTTGCCTGCCTTGTGCGAGTGTGAGTCTCGAGTCTCAACAAGGAAATCAAGGTTTTGAATTGGGGATCCGAACCGACCAGTAGGATGACTGCCTCCCAAACTAAGCACAGTCTTTTAGGGAAGCAGGAAGCCTCAGGCCTCAGTCAGTGTTCTTCATGTGCCGCAGAGTTTCGCGTGTTGTCGAGAGCCCTTGCCTCAAGTTAAACACGTCATAGCAAGAAGCTGCGTAGCTCAAGCTGCAGAATAGTCCCATGGAGCCTATACCAAGTGTTTGTTTGTTTCCTGAGGCCCTGTTTAACTTGTTCCAGTATGCCCTGTGGATACAGAGCGTCAGGTATTGAATGTCATAGCACACGTGCGAAATTCTGCTATTGTTTCTTTGTTTGTTCTCCCTCGTCTTTGCTAAAAGCACCAATGCCAGCACTAGTCGCGTCGACGAGCACTACTGAGGCCTACTCTATTTGTTCTGCCCCATTCGCTTGATAAGTGTTCTCACCGATCCTCAGCAGAAGAACAACAGTTAATGAATTAGTCTTAACATGTGTGCCCATCAGCATAGCGTGATCAAGATGCTGCATTACTGTGTTGCATTGCCCGCTGCGACTCATCTGCTCAAGCTGCAGCCGCAACCTGTGCGATTCAACGATCGACGGTCCTTCCTTGCCGCAAGACTTTGCGACATTATGGCAACCAAGCCACCTGGCTGGGATTTTGGCTGATGGCCAGGCTCTTGTATTTGGCCTTGCACTTGAAGCTTTCGAAGCCTCGGTCGTGCTAGCCGACCTGCCTGCAGGTCCTGAGCCCTTGCTGTAGACACTCCAAACATTTGACTGGGGGCGAGCAAGTTGTGGTTGGTAGAGCACACTTTCAGTTGCAGCTTAGGGGTGATGGCTGCGAGGCTAATCAGATTTTGCAGGTTGTGGAAGTTAGGGATCCGACAGCCGGAGCCGGAGCTTCTCTTTCAAGGGCTCATTCCAAGGTTAAAAGGCCAGGGGCTTGAACAAGCCTCGTGCCTTTCGCTTTTCCTCAGGGTGGGCATCAACGGATTCGGCCGCATCGGCCGCATGGTCTTTCAGGCCCGGACCGCCGTTTGTGCTTTCTGCCAGCTTTAGATTAACTGGGATCTGCTTAGGAAGTCCCTCCTGTGTTTATCATTGGGTTTCGAAACTATGGTAGATAACTCCATTCGACGCCATGAGTAGATTGTTCCAATCATGTTTCGAATGACGTGCTGAGACCAAGTGAGTTTCGCATATGTCTGTCCGGCTTCTTAACGCATCACGCGTCTCCTTCTGCAAGTTTTCTCTCTTCCACAGATTGCTTTTCCGGTCCTTGGCCCTTGAACACGCAGCATCGAGCACTGCCGTTTAGGGCCAGGCCAGTTATGCGTAAGTTATATCTGGGGACTAAACCCTAAACCCTAAATCCCCTTTAATTCAATCGAGGTTTTTAGAAACGTACAATTATGCCATAGTATGCCTCTAACTCCTCGGTAGACCCGGCGTCCCGGCGTCTTGAATCCTGCGGCTCGAGAAGCGCGACGTACCGTACAGCTTACAAGCGGTAGCCAGCCAGCTTAGCTCGCGCAGACAGAAATGTGCACTTGCTCCGACGGCTGCGCTGCACCCGTGGCAGGCCAGGACACGGCCCAGGACGCATGGGGTTTTGGTATCCCATCGGAGGGCCGGGACTCGCTGCCGGAGGGGCTTTGTGCTGTTTTGCGCAAACACCGCGAAGCCCTTCAGTCGATTCGCCAGCAACAGGTTGGTGTCTTGAAGTCGCTGTCGGATTTGGAGGACATCTGGATGCAGCACGTCGACCCACAAGACTTTCGAGTCGGTTTTCACGAGGGGGCCACAGAGGCTGGCACTCCTGGAGAGGATGTTGAAGCCCAACCCCGACCAAGCATGGCCATGGTCACGGAAGCAACGGAGAACCTGGAGGCCTGCCGAATTCACAGCATCAACAAGAACAATGAGGTCTCCCGCCTCCTGGCGAGGATCAAGGAGCAGAACAACCGATCACAGCAGCTGGACCGGCCGTCAGTGGAGGACCGTCTGGTGCTTAGTAGGGGATGGGGGAATGGATCTCTATAGTAGCCCCGATATCATCCCCAATAATAGTCTCCACAATCCATGCCCTCATTCCTATAATAGTCTCCGTAATCTATTCCCCCATTCCTTACTAAGAACCAGACGGAGGAAGGCTTTTGGCCACATCTGCGCTTCCATTGCCGCCGTCTCGTCGATGCAGCCTGGTTCGAAGGCGTCGTCTCCACGGTGATCCTGGTGAACTCGGTACTGATCGGTTGGGAAACAGAGACTGGGGTCTTGTTGAGGAATCTAGTTTGAGTTGCCCTAACATCATGTAGGAATCATGTACATAAGACGTTCCCTCATCATGATATCTTTAACCAAGATACCTGCTTTCCTTCCTGTACCTTATTATATTATTATGGTATCTCGTCTGAAGCCAAGATACCCAACAAAAATCCAGGAGATGTCTTTGAACGGCCAAGACCAGACGTGGATGCGTGGTGCCGAGAGGGCCTTTCTTTGCATCTATTCCGTGGAGATCCTCGTCCGCGCCATTGCGCAGCAGTGTCTTAGTAGAATGAGTGAGCTTTGGCTTGTTTCTCGTAGATTATGAAGCGCACATAAAATCCCCAAAGGCGAACCTCAGATCCGCATGTAAGGTGGGCTTGCTTACGAGATGGGTGGTTCCTTTTTGACTTCTTCTTAGTGCTCGGGGCTTGCGCAGGGCAGCTGGCACTTCTATGGACGGGGGAGTCGGCGGAGCAAATCATGGTCCTCCGGCTCCTGCGCTTAATGCGGCTAGCTCGCAGTGTTCGCATGATCAAGCAGATTCGAGCGATTTTTCGGCTCGTCTACGGACTGATCACGTGTGGCGAAACCATCTTCTCCACCTTTGCCTTGCTTTCATTAGTCATCTATGTCTTCGGCGTGCTTGGTTCTGAGATCATCGCAAGCAACGCAGGACTCAAGGCCAATCCCACGACCGGCCCGATCATTTCAAACCACTTTTCCTCATTGGGCATGACGATGATGATGTTGACGCAGTTCGTTACAATGGACTCAATTGCTTCTGTCTACAAGCCTCTGATCTTGGAGGAGCCTTGGCTGCTGCTCTACTTCTTGCCTGTCGGGGCCATCGTGTCCATCGCTCTCATGAACTTAATCACGGCTGTGCTCGTGGAAGGGGCACTCGAGAGTGCCCGACACGATCGCGAAGAGGAGCGCAAGATGGAAAACATCACCACGAAGCAGATGCTGCCAGAGATTGTGAGAATCTTCGACACCCTCGATGCAGATGGGAATGGTGAGCTGAACATCGAGGAGATGGCCCGCTTTGATAGGCCAGGCCTAGGGAAAGGTGGGGGCAGTGGCATCAACCGCCGGATCTTGGACCGTGCTGGGGTGGACAGCATGGAGGAGCTATTCCAGATTTTGGATGTGGACAGCTCTGGGCGGGTCTCTCGCATGGAGTTTGAGGAAGGATTGCTGAGCATCTTCCTCCGTGAGGTACCTGTGTCATCACTCCAGATCCTGAAGCTGATCCGGCTTCTCCGCGATTCGGTCGGCGAGCTGCATGCAGAACTCAGGAAGCTCCGCAGCCCGGGTCATCAAAAGTAGTTGTTCTTGTTATCTAGAAAATGAAACTACAATTGCTATCAATTTTGTTCTTGTTATTTCGCCGATGATTATAGTCGTTTTTATAGTTAGTAACGATCATGGTGAACATGGTTCTTCGAATCACGTGCCGAGCCCTTGGGATTCTTTCGGGCTGCTGTCTCAGTAAACGTCGCCAGTTGACTACGGAAGGAGAGTTGCAACAGAGTCCTGGACAAGGCATCCAGGTCTAGGAGACCTTCTGGGATAGTTGGGACTTTCCTGGATGTGAGGTAGTCCATGCGGAGAGTGCCTCTCCTTCTATAATATAAATGCAGAAGTTATGCGGAATTCTGCCCAGCTGACTGCAGAAACCCGACTGCTTTGCAAGGCTTCGGACTTTGATGATGTAAGCTTAGGGAAATGACTCAGAAAGTGAAACCATGGCTGTGAGATCCTTGTATTCCTCTGGCCCTCAATATCGAAGTGCTAGCCGAAAGCCCTGAACCCTAAGGCAGAGCCGAGTCAGTGCCATTTGGCACTCCAACTCAGCCACGCACTACCACGACAAAGGAGCCCCTCTGAGCGGGCTTCTGATCCGTTGACAGATAACAGCTACATACTGTGCGATGTTTTGAGTGTGTCGAGTCTGCCTGTAGGCAAGGCTATGATGCCTCCTTGAGCCGTGAAAGCTCACAGAGCCTCCCAGCGGAGTTGGATGTGTGGTCATGCGCAATATGTCTGACCCAGACTCGTAGGATCGTCCTTGCCAGGCGGGACGCAAAAGAAAGCCAGACCCCAAGGCCCTGCAGAGCAGAGGTCGTAAGTTTCTCCTTCAAGCTTCGAACGGGTAGTTACATGGCTCCATGTAATTCATGTAATGTAATGCTACAAGGGAAAGTAGCTGCGGTTGCAGTCACTTAAAACCTCAGTTCATCTACCGTCACCGTACGTATAGTTAACCTTATCTACGCATGAAGCTTGAAACGTTGGAAGGCTCCGTATGGAGTTCAACGACTAAACGGAGCAGCGCTTGCCGAGAATGAAAATGAGCTGCATCTCTGCTGGGCAAAACCCCAGGTGCGAGACTCGAACCTGAACCCAAGCCCTGTTCCCGAGAGTCCTAGAGTCTCAACCTTGCTTCAAGGTCAAGAGGCTTCTGAATGAAACTTCTGCAATCCATCATAATGTACCTATAACCTACTTGCTAGGCCCCGTGTTCCTTAAATCCGGTTATGACCGAGTGACGAGGCCATTTGCGATCAGGGCTTGCTTGGCTCCAAGCTGGACGTTGCTGCTCGCC